TAGTTTTCTTCTTTCTACATGGTTTCCTTTACTCGGTCAACCTACTGAAGCCACCGCCACATTAACATCTCTAAGGGTCTCAGAGTGCAGGCCTCCTCAGGGGTTGGATCTGCAGGCCTGCTTGCCTGTATGCTTCGTAATTTGGTGTGTAAAGTGAACATATGAGGGACCGTAACTCTCGAACTGCTGGTCCCTGCCTGTTTGTTGGGGGGTAGGACCACCCAGCTGCAATTTTGCCAAACTGTTGCACTGTGTATTCCTAAGAGTGGGTGATGGGTCCTGTCCCCTCAGCCAGCGCCTGACCAAGATGTTCTTAAGTTTCTACCTCCCAAAAGGAGAAAACAAAGCCTTATTTATTGTTTATGTGGTCAGCACAAGGGTGGAGGTCGGAGGATAATTCTGTGGAGTCAGATCTCCTGCTTTTACATGGGTTCTGGGACTGAAAAACGGGTCTCCACACTGTGTTACCTGCACTTTTAACTGCTGAGCCATTTTGCTCACCCTATGAGTCTGTTCCTCTTCCTTTGAGATTTGGGGTGTGTGTGTGTGTGTGTGTGTGTGTGTGTGTGTGTGTGTGCGCGCACACACACACATGAGTGCAGGTGCCCACAGAGGTCTGGAGATGTGGATCCTCACAGAGCTGGAGTTACAGATGGTCACGATCTGCCTGATATGGATAATGAGACTCAAACAGACCCTCTGAAAGAGCAGTACCTACTCTTAAAGGTGGAGCCGTCCATCTCTCCAGCCTTACCTCTGCAGATTCCTCAGCAGTAGTTTGGAAGCCTCTGCAGCCTGGAGAGACTTACAGTATAGTATTCATGTTGTCCCAGCCCTCCAATAATCTAAAGCTACAATCAGACCAAAACATAGCCCCAAATCCTTCCCACCTCTTCTCCAGGTTCTCCTCCCAAACCACCCCATTATATGGCAAGTCCACACCATATAGCAAGGGTGACAATACTCCAACAACAACGATATGCTACCAGGTAGAACCCTGAGGACAGGAATGAGTCACATCTCTTGACTTGTTGGCCCATAGACTTCCCCAAACACCATAGGCCATTGGCAATGCTGCTGGTTACCCTCCTCAACCTGGCGGCATGTCCATATTACTGAACACACCACATCCAGTTGTTGCTCAACTAGAAGCTTCGCCCCTACTGGCTGACATTCATAATGTTGAAAGGTGTTATACAGCCCTACCAGAGCAGAAATTCAATCATTAACCTCACCCATCTATGAGGCCTGCAAGCTACAATAGTGATCTGCCTGCAAGCTACATCTCTGATGCAATATTGTCACAAATGTTAGGGGAGTAACCAACCACTTTTTTTTTAGTGGGGTCAAGACCCACTCCATAAGACGGAACTCATATTTGACACTGTTAACGAGTCCAAGAATCTGAGATTAAATAGGTCACGCCCTAGAGCAGTGGTTCTCAACCTGTGGGTCACAACCTATGATGGGCATGTGAACTCAGACATTCAAGAAGTGCACAGGTTCAAACCAGACAAAACCCCAGCACAGAGAAATGGAAATCAACGTAAAGTCCCAGCCCTAACTAAGAAGGTATTTGCAACTGATAGCTGCTCAGAGAGGGAAATCAGCTTTCTTTAACACAGTGACACTGGGTATGTCAACCACACCACAGAGCAGGATCCATGCTCAGGCGCAGCTGGCCAACAGGAAATGGGCTGTTTATTAATTGTGAGTGTATGTGTGCATGTGTGTTTGTATTTGTGTGTGTGTGTGTGTTTAAGACAAAGAACATAAAGTTGGGTGGATAGAAAGGGGGATCTAGGAGTTGATCAGAAAGGGGAAAGAATATGGTCAAAATATATTGTATGAAATATTTAAAAATAAAAAAAATATCCACATTATAACATTGATAGTATACTAGTTAATATAAATGCTAAAAATTAAATAGGTTCATATACTTGAACTGAGTTTTTATTTTTATATGTCAAGCTTTATGCCTTTCAGAGAAAATACTTGTAATGATAAAGTAAATAAGACCTTCTAGCCCGGCAGTGGTGGTGCACACTTTTAGTCCCAGCACTTGAGAAGCAGAGGCAGGTGGATGTCTGTGAGTTCAAGGCCAGCCTGGCGTACAGAGCCAGTTCTAGGACAGCCAAGGCTACAGAGAAACCTTGTCTCACACACACACACACACACACACACACACACACACAGAGAGAGAGAGAGAGAGAGAGAGAGAGAGAGAGAGAGAAAGCCCAAGAGCTTCTAAAAGAGAAAAGAAAAGACAGCTCTTGCCAGCTCTGCTTCTGTGTGGGTAAAGAGAGACTCCTGTTGAGTTCCATCTGGATCTTTGCTTCTCTCAAAACCTCAGAGTTTCAGGGTAGAACAATGAGGCGGCATTTTCAGAACTGTAATGTGAAGGTCTTCCCACACACCCTAGTGTAAGCACTTGGGCTGGTAGTCCTGGTACAATTTTCCAGGCTGTTCTCACACTCTCATACCCTGCTGCCACCATCTGGCGCCCTCTGAGGAAGCAGGGTCCTTTCCCAGTGTTTGCATTCTGTCTTCTGTTGGGTTTCTTGGGCCTCCTGACAGAGGAGCTGATTTTAACCACAAGGCAAGCAAACATGCTTCCCTTCCCCTGAAGCAGCAGGAATGAGTTACCTAAGAGACAGCCAAGGACAAGCAGGAGACGTCTTCAAATACAACCTAAAGTTTGCACGGGGGGGGGGGGGGGGGGGGAAAGGGTGACTTACCGAATATCTTAGCCAAATGTTCCTCTTGCTTATGTGAGCTTGATGCCAGTTCAGAATTGTTGAAGCTGTTCGGGCTGAGTTGAGCTATGGGGAAACAAACTCAGGCTGAGCTTAAATCTTTCCTCACATCTATAACTCGTCTCTCTGAGGCCCCACCCCTCTACAGGGTACTTTGAGAGGGACAGTGTCTCAGTCACTTTCTCGTTGCTGTGGAAAAGTTACTTTGGCAGAGGCAACGTGAGAGAAAGGGTTGATACTGGCTTGTACCTCTAAAAGGACACCGTCTACTATGGCTCAGAAGACACGGCACCGGGACCAGGGTGCTGGCCAGAGGCATCACACTCATACTTAGCAATCAAACAGAGACCAATGCGTGCCTTCATTGCTCGACTAGCTCTCTCCAGCTTATACAGTCCAGCATCCCCAGCCCAGGGAATGGTCCCACCCACATCCATTAATATATTCAAGATAATCCCTCACAGGCATGCAGAGGTCCATCTCTTAGATTGTTCTAGATTCTGCAACCATCCCAGTTACCCTGTGTTCTCTTCATCTAAGTGGTACAGGACACCATAACACACACACACACACACACACACACACACACACACACACACACACACACCAAACAAATGTGTGTAGAAACATGTTTAAGCAGAGGAGTCTGAAGCTCCTGAAGCAGAGGTGACTTCCCACAGTTTCCCGACAGACACTGTGCACAGCCACTGAGTGATTTCTGTGTACACACTGGCTCTGATTATAGAAGGAAACTGGTACAAGAGCCTGGGTGGTGGGTGCCAGATGACATCAAGCAGGGCCACTTTGAGCCAATAAATGACAAAGGTGCCGTTCTCTACGAATGAGGCCTGGGAGAGTCGTTAGGACTGAGTACGTTTAATCCTTAAGCATTTTGCTGAAAACATGTTATAGTGGATCAGCTAAGGGGACATAATAAAGCCTGCTTCGGGGCAAGCTAGCAGGATCGTGCAGCAAAAGCTCACATGTGTGCCTTTACTGAGTGGCCACGGAGAGATGCATTGGCAGGATCGTTAGTTACAAAACTGCTTTGCTTATAGTGTGAGTTCAACACAGCACATGTTTCTGACCTTATTTTGATAAGTAATGACCCATTTTCAATCCCCCTCTTAATGGGGAGGGCCTTCTGTTATTCCCATGATTTAGGGCTAATGTGCATGGGGTTTTTTATATTGCTTTGTTTCCTGTATGTGGCCAGCTGTTTTCTCTTAGCATTTGACATGAGTGTTGATGGAGAAATCAGCTGTGCTGCTCTGGGCAAACAGTTTACAAAGGCTGAGACGAGGTGATGAGGGAGTGTGTGAGAAGGCTTTGCACCCCAGACTAGTGACTTGGGCATTTCTGGGCAGTAAGCTACAAAGTGTGGATGAGAAGAAAGTTATAATACTATGCCTAGATTGTGTTAGTGAGCCCCGCTGAAAATTAGATTCCCATCCTTTGCACAACATCCACAGTGTCAGGGTCTGCCTGACTGCACAAGAGGGATCATAGATATCACAGGAGGAGGGAGGGGAGGGAGAGGAGGAGGGAGGGGAGGAGGGAGGGGAGGAGGGAGAGGAGGGAGGGGAGGAGAAGGAGGGGAGAAGGGGAGGAGGAGGGAGGGGAGGAGGGAAAAAGGAGGAGGGAGGGGAGGAGGGAGGGGAGGAGAAGGAGAAGGAGGGGAGGAGGGGGGAGAGGAGGAGGGAGAGGAGGGAGAGGAAGAGGAGGAGGGGAGGAGGGAGCGGAGGAGAGGAAGAGGAGGAGGGAGAGGAGGAGACGATAAGAAGATGAAGAAGGTGGCGGCGGCAGCACAGGCACATTTTAAAGCATGCACCCCATAGATAATGAAAGCCATGGTGAGGGTTTCTGATTTCTCTTTCTTCACATCTCAGCTTGGCAGGGTCCCACCAACAACCGGGTTCTAGGATGCTCAAGTCACCGCACATCCAATACAACACAGCATATGAAAACGCATGCACTCTGAAACCATCCACAGATACTTGCTTTCATTCACGTCACTCCAGGTGATCAGTCTGCCAGCTGTAGTTGCATCTTTGGATACGTCATCCAGATGACTGGGAAACACCTGCAGCAGGATCTCATCTGGAGAGAAGCAAGCAAAATCGCTAACACCAGCAATGCACCAGGTATAACCTGCTCTGTACCTACCCAGTGTGTCCATGGATGAGTGAATGGATATCTGGCTCAAACTCAGTGGACACAGGATGCTCAGCTAAGATGCCATCAAAACTGCAAAGTCAGGATTGCACCAGATATCCCGGGCAGAGAGCATCACCCACCAAACACAGAATGACCTACCTCTGAGACTGTTCCCGAGCAGCTCTGTGTACAAGCAAAAATGCTTGTGTTAGGTCAAGGGCCTAACACTCTAGCTCGTTAAAGATGCTATCTACTCTAAGAGGCCAGATCCCACAACCTGAAGAAAAGGCCACCCCTTGCCAACCCCTCAAACCCCACCCTTCCCAGAGCTACCCTGGGATGAAAAGAAGCTATCCTGTCCCATGCTGCGGGCACTGTGGTTTTCATGAATGGTTCAACCCAGTACCTGGCTCCTCCATGCTCTCTGTCATGTAGGCTATACCAAGACCAAATCACATGGGTAGAACGCCCTACCACACATGCACACACACTGGAATAATATAATATAATAATAATATAATATTGAAGGAATTTCTCTCAAGACTTTCTGGGCCTCCTCACCATCCTGTCATGACCTCTCTCTCTCTCTCTCTCTCTCTCTCTCTCTCTCTCTCTCTCTCTCTCTCTCTCTCCCAGAGACAGGGTTTCTCTGTATTGCTTTGGAGCCTGTCCTGGAACTAGCTCTGTAGGCCAGGCTGGTCTCGAACTTAGAGATCCACCTGTCTTTGCTTACCAAGTGCTGGGACTAAAGGCACACGCCACCAACGCCAGCTCTTTTATTTTAAGCTCTCCCTCCTGCTGTGGTTTAAGTGAGCAATGCCTCCCACAGGTCTCTGTGTTTGATAGTCTCAATTAGTGGCGCTGTTTGGGGAGGTTATAGACAGTTGTTTTCAACCTTCCTAATGCTGTGACCCTTTAATACAGTCCCTCATGTTATGGTGACCCCCCCAACCATAAAATTATTTGTGTTGCTACTTCATGACTGTACTTTTGTTACATGATGAGTCATAATGTAAATATTTTTGGAGATAGAGGGTTGCATTACAGGCTGAGAAGCGCTGGTTAGGAGGTAGGAAGTTCGTGACTGGGGGCAGGTTTTGAGGGTTTATAGCCTCACCCCACTTTCTAGTCGATCGTGTGTGTGTGTGTGTGTGTGTGTGTGTGTGTGTGTGTGTGTGTGTGCCCTCTTTCCTGTTTGTGGACACAAATGTGGTCAGCCAGCTTCCAGCTCCTACTGCCATGCCCTTTCTGCCATTATTGACTCTATTCCTCAGGAGCCATACGACAAAACAAACCCTTCTCTTCCCTAAGTAGCTATTGATCATCGTTTTGTTTGTTTGTTTATCACATCAACCTTTTTCTAGGATTTTATTTAGAATGTATAGTGTTCTATCTGCATTCATCCCGCATGCCAGAAGAGAGCATCAGATCTCACTATAGATGGCCGGTGCCATCTATAATGCTCTTAAGCTCTGAGCCATCTCACCTAAGGCCCCATGTGCTGGCTTGAACCCGCTGTGTGGTTCCTTTCTAACGCTCCCACAGCAAGGTTCTATAGAGGTCTGGAGGCCCTTTCTCCCAGCGAGCCTCATTCCTGAAAGCAGTTGCATGCCAGCTCTATTCATGAGCCAATAGCCTATGCCACCCTCCCTCTTCCTTTATCTAACACTACGGAGCCGCTATAAATTTGGAGCCAATAGCCACAGACCCAAATCCCAGTTTGATGCCTGCCAGAATATGATCTTAGGCAAATAACTTCAGCTCTTAGACCTTTGGTGCCCTCATAGCCGTGGGGTGGGAGGGGCTTAACTCAGAGAACTTTCATGGAGATCGATGTCTCTGGAAGGCACTGAACACAGGTCGGTCGGTGTGAAACTTGTTCCCCGGGGCCAAATACCTCACCACCAACCGCAGGGCAGCTGGGAACATGGTCCGTGCTCTGCTCTGTGGGATATGTGGGTAAAAATGGGGCGGGGGAGACGCAGGGAACCGAGGTGCCGTTCACATGGGACAGAAGAATGAGTTCTCTGTCAGGGTCTAAGCTTCCCCATCTCCAGACTCTCTCACCTCCTGCATCTCGTTTGTGGTAGAAGCCTCCAAGTCCACACCCCACCGAAGCTGCCTTTCCCACTCTCCCTGGCAGATAGACCAAGGCCACACAACACACAGAGGTCCTCAAAAGACAACTGAGACCCAGGAAGAGCACTGATCCTCTAACCAGAAAATGATGTTTATTTTGGCGGGTGACTGAGACAGCATCTCACTATATACTGATGGGAGATGTCGTTAGGTAAATATGTTTCTCTTATTGTTTAATGAATAAAGTCCTGTTGGCCAATAGGAAAACAAGATAGGCGGGACTAGGAGACAGGGAGATATAGTGGAAGAGAAAGTCCAGATCCTCTCTCCGGTAAGATAAGACCACTTAGAAACACTTAGATAGAAATGGGTTGATATTTAAGACAGAGCCAGCCAATGAGAAACGCTAGTAACAGGCCAACAGCTTTATATCTAATACAGCGTCTCTGTGTGTTATTTGGGGCTGGCGCGGCTGTGGGACCAGGCTGGCAGGAAAACTGCTCAAAACAATATACCCTTGGTTGTCCTAGAACTCACTATGGAGACCGGACTGGCCTCAAACTCAGAGATCAGCTTGCCTCTGCTTCCCGAGTGCTGAGTTTAAAGGCGTGTGCCACCATGCCCAGCTTGGATAGAAAAATTTAAAATGCTGAGCTTGCACTTCCCTGTCTCTTGTTCCTCGTGCCTGGAAAGGAGGGTGTCTGGATGATGTCTGGAATGGCAGACACCATCCTTCCGCCAAGAGACAATCACCAGGGAAGGCCCAGGTGGATGATCTCAGAGCAACAGGCTGTAGCCCCAGCTATTCTGACAGAGGAGAAAGAAAGAATTTTTGGTTTGTGTCACTGGGCCATCTACACATGTATGACGGCATACCAGACATGACCAGACATATTGACATGTCTACAAAGAGCAGCAAAGCCAGAACTGGGCAGAGGGGAGAAAAAAAAAGCAGGCAGAGCACCAGCCCAAGGCTGAGCAGACCTCAGGAGGACGAAGTGGGCCCTGCCAGCAAGGGCTAAGAACCTGCACCGGGCAGAAGGTGGGTGTCTGTCACCCCTCTGCTGCCTCAGCAGACCTCTGTGGTTCAGAACTGTTCCCTGCCTCTGCTCCCTCAGCCTGGAGTCTCCCTGGAGGCTTTATAGCTTGACTGGCTCCAGTCCCAGCCACTGGGAGGCAGAGGCAGATGTATCTCTGAGGGGGATGTCAGCAAGGGCTACACCGTGAAACCCTGTCTCGAAACATGTAGTTGGTTGTTTACGCTTTACTCTTTGGCTCTTTGGGGGGGGGCACCCAGCACCCAAATAAATCACACACAGAGACTAATTCTCACTTATAAGTGCCTGGCCTGAGCTTGGCTTGGTTCTTGCCAGTTTTTCTCAAATTATCCCAACGACCTTTTGCCTCTGGGCCTTTTCTTTTTCTTACTTCTGTAAATCTTATGCGGGTGGCCAGGGGGCCGGGTGGCCGGGTGGGGGGTGGCAGGGGATGGGGGGGAGAGTCCTTTCTCATCCCTTTTTCCTCTCTCTCCTTCACAGATTTCTCCTTCTATTTATTCTCTCTTCCCGCCAGCCCCTGCCTATCTTTCCTCCTGTCTAGCTATTGGCCATTCAGCTCTTTATTAGACCATCAGGTGTTTTAGACAGGCAAAGTAACATAGCTTCACAGAGTTAAACAAATGAAGCATAAACAAAAGCCACACATCTTTACGTGGTTAAACAAACGTTCCACAATATAAACCTTAAAATAATATTCTGCAACACAACCACCTAAACTTTACAGGACTGAGGCTGTCACTCAGCGATAGGGTACTAGCCTAGCAAGCATGAGGCTCTGGGTTTGACTCCTGGCCCCATAAAAAATACCCGTCTACTGACTCTAATGCTGAGGGCACGGAGGAGTGTGCTTCAAAGACCCTCTGGTGGTTCCCAGCTCAGCCTGGGGCCTCACATTCTCTACAAAACAGAAATCACCCAGGCAGGTGTGATGTGGAGGGCCGAGGTGGGTCACTGCCTCAGCGACCTTCCAGATGGCGCTGCTGACTCCAACACCGGTCCCCATGTGAAAAGTCTTACCATGGTTTGGCTTATCACACCGTTTGCTTAACTTTTTTGGCACCTGGGCCCTTAGAGGAACCAATTCTTAGCCACAAAGCAGAGCACTCACTCGCCTTCTCCCCTGCCCACGGAACTTCTTCAAACCCAGCCTCAGGCTCCGCAGGACAACTTACCAAACAGTTTAGCCAAATCTTCATCGAGATGCTTTGAACTTGAGGGAAAGCCATTCTCCACACCTGTGGGAGAACAAGATTCGCCGTGACTAAATCTTTCCCCTATCAGGCAAGCATGACGGGGTAATACCTGTGCTCCTAGCACTTAGGGGCTGAGTAGGGGCCGACCAGGGGTTCTTGGCCAACCTTGCCTTCAGGCCGAGACCACTGCCAGCTTGAACGACACGACCCTGTCTCAAAAATAAACAAGTCCCATCCATATGTCTCACCCCGCCACGCAGGGTACAATCCACAACTGCAGCGGCTACCTGAAGCTGTGGACAGAACCAAAGCTCGTGTGTGCTTTTTCTCATATGTAGATCCGCTGCCTTTTCCATTGCGACTGTCGCTTCTCACCAAAGGGGGCCATAACTCTTGCTGTCTGCGGTATAATACCAGACAGGCACTGGTTTTGTTTGCCTTCTCAATTGCATGGGTAGGGCATTGACTCTGGGGCTGAGACTCAAGTTCAGTGGCAGAGAAAGGTACCCGAGTTCAGTTCATCCCAACCACTCGATTCCCTCTTCGGTCTTGTAAGGTCAGTAGAAGCTGAAGCAGAGTAGCAACCAGCTAAGATGGAGGGGAACCAGAAGCAACCTTCACTCCCCACATGCCTGCACCAGGGACATTCAACCACCCTCACACAGTACCCAGCGGGGCCAAGACCAAATCATCTCAAAGATGGAAAGATCCCCCACTCAAGGATCAGAAGGATTAACATCGTTAACTAAAAGCAATCTAAGGGTTTGATGGAATCTCAGTCAAAATTCCAATGTCGCCCCCTTCAGGGAACTAGAAAAAAAACAATCTAAAAGTCCCCCCAGATACCCAAAGCAAACCTGAGCAAAATACAACTAACTCCTGGAGGTAACACCATAACTGATTTCAGAGCCATAGTAATAAAAACCACACGGCGGCGGCATAGAAGCAGTCACATGGTCCAGATAAAGGGCCACACAAGTATTGCCACCTAACTGTTGACAGAGGTGCCAAAAATACATATTAGAGGAAAGACAGCCCTCTTGGCAAATGCTGATAGGGAAATTAGATAGCCACATAGAGTGAAAAAATAAACTACATTTGCAAATCTTTAAAGAAAAATCAGTCAAAAATCTTACAGGCCTGAAACTGCTAGGAAAGAACACTGCAGTATTAAAGGAGGACTTTCTGAATAGGACTCTGGTCCCTCACAGAGCAAGGCCAACAATCAAATCAAAAGGCCTCATGCAATCAAAAACCTTCTGGACAGCAAGGGCCACGCAGGGAGTCATTGTCTCAAGAAGTCAAGCGGAGAAAGGGGAAGACACACCAGCCCAATAAATGTATTTTTTTAAAAGCGTTCAACATCCTCGTCCGTCAAAGAAATACAAACCATAACTACTTTGAGAGTCTATGCCGTCGTCATCCCAGCTAGAAAGAAAATGGCGGCAAAGACTGGTAAGGACATGGAGAAAGGGAACGTGTCAGTAGGCGCGTCAATTAGTGCCGTGTCTACGGAAGTCAGTGAGACTTCCAAACACACAGCTACAGCATTCCTTACTTGACAGCTGCTCTAGTCACACTAGCAAGAAAATGGATCTGCCTAGAGATGTCCATCAGCCGATGAGTGGGTAATGGAAATATGGCACCTGTGCACAGCAGAATTTTATTCAGCCACAAGGACAAATGAAATTATGAATGTCTGCAGGAAAATGAATGGGAATGAAACACACTGAGTTACCCAGGTCCAGAAAGACAAAAACACATGAGAACTCTATTTTCTAATCTTCATGCGTGTACATTCGCGTGGGGGTCTGTGTATTATACAGGGCACAGGGAACTAGAAAGAGGCTCACGAGATGGCAGCGAAGAGTCTGTGGGCTGGAAAAGGGCTCAGTGGTTAAGAGTGCACACTGCTTTTCCTGAGGGTTTGAGCTCTGTTCACATACCCACACTAGGTGGCTCCCAACTGCCTGCCAATAACTCCTACTCACAGCGGAGCTGATGCCCGCTTCTGGCCTCCTCGGGCTCCTGCATCCATGTGCACATACCAACACCCACAGGCACACATACAAGAGTTTCTAAATAAATAAGTATTGTTTAAAAGAGTGGGAAGGAAGATCTGAGCATGGTGGCACACACCTTTAATCCCAGCACTAGGGGAGGCAGAGGCAGGGGGATCTCTGTGAGTTCAAGCCGTGCTGGTCTACATAGCGAGTTCCAGGACAGCCAGAGCTATATAGTTAGGCTGTGTCTCAGAAATAAATGAAGTAGGAAGAGGATGGAATTCACTGATTTCAAAGCAAAAGTAGAGCCACGTCTTGGTGGTGTGCGCCTTTGATCCCAGCACTCTGGAGACAGAAGCAGGCGGTTCTTTGTGAGTTTGAGGCCAGCCTGGTCTACAGAACGAGTTCCAGGACAGGCTCTTGAAAAAAACCTAAATAAATAAATAGTTTAATTTTTTTTTAAAGTAGAAGGGGAAGGCTGGGGTTGGGAACAATAAGGAGATGAGGGAGAAGATGAGTAAGAGGGAGGGGTCAACCAAAGCTAACAATGTGTGAAAGCCACAAGGAAATGTGACATTTGTTACTTTCGAAATGTCTGTGTGTATGCATGTATGTGTATGTCATGATGTGTCAGAGGACAATTTGCAGGAGTCATGTCTCTCCTTCTACCATGTGGGTCCTGGGGATCAAACTTACATCAGAACAGTCAGTTTTGAATTCTCATCCATACATGGGGCATCTGCATCATCCCTTCCTAGCCTCGGGGGATCTCTGCCGAAGGGAAGGAAAGAGTTAAGGGAGGAAGGCGGAGAATGTGTGGGACACTGACTTCCAGGTCCCATGGGGCCATCACACTCTCCAGCACACCACACTCTCCAGCGCACCACACTCTCCAGCGCACGGCAGCCATGATTATCAGCACACAGTCTCCACATTAGGCCAGCCAACAGCCTGTCATGGAGGCGGAATGGGCTCGCCCTGTCTCACCCTCCCCTGAAGATTGACAAGCAGTGGCAGTGGAGTGTGGGTGGGCATTCTCTTCAGTGGCTTCGCCGTTAGTAAGGCCCTTGTAGACAACTAACTCGCCCATCCTCCTGGAAGCAGCCTAATGAAACTCACTGGGCTATTTTTTGAAAAAGAGATGAAATTACAAGAGGGACTAATTGGTACGAGGAAGAGGACTGGTAAGACCGGTATAGGAAAACCTTTAATCTCAGCACTCGGGAGGCAGAGGCTCCTGAGTGTGAATCTCTGTGAGTTCGAGGCCACCCTGGTCTACAGAGCGAGTTCCAGGACAGGCTTTAAAACAATATAGAGAAACCCTGTAATGAAAAACAAAAAAAAAAAAAAGGAGTGGTATGGGAATAAGAGAATGTAATGGATGAATATAAGAATGTAAACAAATGCATACAAGTAGAAAATTGTCATAATGAACCTGTTTGCATAATTAATGTATACTAAGTTTTTGTTTTGTGGAGGATCGGATTCAAGAGGGTTTCTCTGTGTGGCTTTGGGGCTTGTTCTGTAACTCTGTGGACCAGGCTGAACTTGAACTCATAGAGATCTACCTGCCTCCGCCTCCCCAGTGCTGGGATTATAGGCGTGCGCCACCACACCCAGCTTAGCATATACTGATTTTTAAAATACGTGCGGATAAGATTGGGATGGTTTGTGCGTAGCTGTTCTCTCCATTGATTTTTCTACCTCTGAGATGTCTGAAAATACTTTACACTGAAGAGTTGACATTTCTAAGTATGAATCGTCTTATGAAACTCTGGCATTTGAGGATACAGCACAGGTCGATAAAGTCAGGGTCAGAAAAAAAAAAACAAAACAAAACAAAAAAGGAAAACTTCCCTTAAGATACCCCCTTCTCCCAAGGAATCTGGCCTCATGGCGAAGAGAGAAAAGCAGACAAAGTAGACAGGAGGAGGGCTCACCGTCCCAGCCTCGGCAGGAGGGGCCCACCAGCCGGCCTGGCTGAGGCTCCCTGTGAGTCTTCCATCCCTCCAGTTGCCATGACAATATACTTGTGATGGTACCTTCAGTCATAGAGATAGAGTGGGGCTCTACGCCCCACTCGCTGCCCAGGAAGAGAACAAAGGAGAAGAACACAGTGCCGCTCATCTTTGCCACAGCCAGCACACCATCAGGGGGAAGCCATTCTCCTCAGTCTCTTCAAGAGGCGACATCCGTTGAGTTCTGGGGTGTTGTGGAACCTGTGCTCTGTGAGGTCATACTGGGAAAGGAGCATCCGTCGTCTGGGACCGAGTGGAATGTTAGTGACTTTCAAATGGCCTCTCGGTTCGTTTCCTTGGCTCTTTGAGGGCTCCCTCAATCCTGCATGCCCTGCAAGTTGAAGATGGGAACCTATCAGTAGGACTCTTAGGCTACACAGGACAAAACTCAACTGTGGTCTCTTAAACCAACTGGAGGCAGCTAGAGCCACCAGGCATACTGTAGTGATAACATTAACGTATCGTATTGACAGGAGGGATGTTCCTTGCTGGTAAAAGGCTTCCTTGGTGTATATGAGGTCCTTACTTGGACCCTCAGCGCCAAGAAAACAAAAAGGTGTCCCGTTAATGAAGTTTGCTCAGTATAGATTGAACCCGGGAGGCCCACGTGTTAAAGATCGGGTCCTCAGCCCACGGTACCACTGCAGACAATCGAACCTTTAGGAGACAGGTCTTAGCTGGAAGATCCTTGAGGTGGGCTCTGACAGGGAGGGGGCGCTCCTACATTTGAATGCGTAGTCATCAGGGGGTGGCACTACTTGAGAAGGATTAGGAGGTGTGGCCTCGTTGGAGTGGGTGTGGCCTCGCTGGAGTGGGTGTGGCCTCGTTGGAGTGGGTGTGGCCTCGTTGGAGGAAGTGTGGCACTGGCTTTGAGGTTTCAAAGGCCCAGGCCAGGCCCAGTGTATCTCTCCCTGCTGCTTGCGGATCTGGATGCAGAACTCTCAGCTACGGCACCGTGTCTGCCCGAGGGCCACCATGCTCCACACTTTTGTCATGGGGTGTCTTCACAGCAGGAGAATGGTGACTACGACAAGGGGACACAGAAAAAGAGGGAGAGACGGAGAGTTATGTGGGTGGGAGAGTGGAGACATGGCTTACAGTTAGGAGCACTTGTTGTGTGAGCTTATGTATCCTTATGGGTTAGAGTTCAGATCCTAGCACCCACATAAAACTAAACATGGTCCTGAGCACACCTGTAGCCATGGCACTAAGAGGAGCGGAGACAGAATTGCTGGGGCTTGTGACCAAACCTACGTGAAAACTGAGAGCTCTGGGTTCAGTGAGAGACCCTGCCTCAAAGACACACGTGCACACGCCACATGCACACATGACTTAGAGTAGACACGGAACTCTTGCTAAACCTGCTGCGTTAGCTTGCTAAGGCCACTATAGCAAAGTACCACAAAATGAGTGATGTAAACAACCAATTTATTCCCTCGCTGCTCTGGCGGTCAGAAATCTGGGATCAATGTGCTGGCAACACTGGGTCTTTCTGCAGGACGAGAGGAAGAGATCTCTTCTAGGACTTGGCCTGAAGGCAGCTGTCTTCTCCCTGAGCCTGCAACATCACTGTCCCTCCATACACATCTACGTCCAATGGCCTCTTACGAGCACATCTGCCATACTGGATTAGAGTCCACTCTTGTAGCCTCGTTTTGATTTCCTTACCTCTGTAAAGACTCTAAATCCAGATACACTCATATTCTAAGGCCCCAAGGATGGGATTTCAGCATCTAAATGTGGACACAAGTCAACCCATCACATAGGTTTAGTTTATTTCTCTAAAATACCATCAAGAAAACAAAAACTAGAACACACACATAAACTTAACACACACACACATGCACACATATACAACACAAACACATACACACACCTCACACCCTTAGCAAAGATAGAAAACAGAAAATATCCAACTTCAAATGAGTAAAAGGAAAAATAACATTTCTAATTCTGGCCTCTACCAAGTAAAACACAGCAGCCCAAGATGGTCTAACCCTCTACCCCACTGATTTGTGTTTTACCTTATACTTAACCCTTCATAATATGTGAAATATCATTGTAAAAGACGCAGCATATTTTCTATGTATTCTATAGCTAGAGTATCATTATTTGTATGAAATCCCAACTCTAAAAAGCAGTTTCCGGTACTTGGGAGGCGGAGGTAGGCCTCTGAGAGTTTGAGGCCAGCCTGGTCTACATAGTGAGTTCCAGGACTACATAGACCGTCTCAAAAACAAAAAAGCAGTTTAGGGGACAGCAAGATGGCTCCTCAGGTGAGAACACTTGCCACCAAGCCCGATGACCTGAGTTTAGTCCACAAGACCTACATGGTGGATAAGATGACCGACTTCCCTTGGGTTGTGCTCAGATGTCCACACGCAAAACAGGGCACTCATGCACGCACACACAAGGACACACACACACACACATAAAGATGCACATACAGAATACATGCAATGTTTACGATAATTTTGTCTATATGAGGCATCGTTACAGAATAATAGTTTGTGGCTTAAATCAGAAATTAGTGTTTTACAAGATCTACTCTAGAAAAACTACAGGCTATTAATGGTTACTGGGAGAGAGAGAGTCACTCTTCTCCAAGGTTAAGCCTATGATACATTACCCAATCCCAAGAGGTCAGCCCTAAACATATATGGGCAACACTAAATTATCCCAGCAGGTTGTACTTATAAACATGCATTACACACATGCCAAAAATATAATTAAATAACAAGAGGCCATGCGTTTCAGGAGTGGGAGGAAATGAAAGGATTTGAGGGAGGAGAGGGGAATGGGAATGATCAAAAAACTAAATTCTCAGAATATAAACATTATGAAAGAAAGTATTGTTTAAAAATCCATTTCCAAACCAGGCATGGAGAAGCATGCCTTTAATCCCAGCACTGGTAAGGCAGAGGCATTCAGACCTCTGTGAGTTCAAGGATAGCCTGGTCTATAAAGTGAGATCCAGGAAAGCCAGGAAAACCCTGTCTCAAAAATTAAATAAATATTTCTTATGTAAACGTGTATACACGTTTTTAACTACTCAACATTTAAGTGTAAAATAATTTCATGCAAAAATGTTTATTTTAAATAATATGCATGAGGGAGAACTGGAGAGATGGCTCAGAGGTTAAGACCACTGACTGCTCTTCCAGAGGACCTGGGTTCAAGTCCCAGTACCCATATGGCAGCTCACAACTGCCTGTAACTTCTGGATCCTACATCATTACACAGACAAACATGTAAATAAAATACTAATGCACACAAAATAAAAAAAATATATAATATACATATTAAAGTAACAACACACAATTGCACAAGCATTTACTGGTTTTTCTCTAATAGTTTTCTTTTATCTATGAAGTAATGTTTTAAAAAACGTATTCTTCTCTCAAATATTACATCCCACCCAGTTTCCCCTCCCCCCACTCCTCCTAGCACCTCTCCCCACTTCTCCTCTCTGCCAAATTCACTTTTCCATTTCCCCTCGGGAAAGAGCAGGCCTCCCAAGGATACCAACAGGACGCGGCACAAGTTACGATAAAACAAGGCACAACCCCTCATATCAGGACTGGGCAAAGCAGCTCAGTGGGAGGAAAGGGTCCCAAGAGCGGACAAGAGAATCGAAGAGAAGCCCCTCTCCAATGTCAGGAGTCCCACAAGAAGAGCGAGCTAAACAACCATAGCATGTTTGCAGAGGACCGCGGTCAGACCCATACAGGCTCCCTGACTGTGGTTTCAGTCAATGGGAGCCCCAGGAGCCCTGCTTAGTCGATTCTGTGGGCCCTGTTCTCATAGTGCAAGCCTCTTGCTCCTACAATCCCCCCCTTTCTTTAGGGTCCCCCTCCCTCTCCCTAATGTTTGGCTCTGGGTCTCTGCATCTGGTCCTGTTGGTTGCCAGATGAGGCCTTTCTGAAGACAGTTGGGCCAGGCACCCACCGATCTATGAGAATAAAGTTGGGAGTAGTTCCATTCAAGCCTCTGATTCCTGGCCATCCAAGAAGTGACAGGGGGGCTGACACTGCCTAGAAGTCGTTTTGTGTGTGTGTGTGTGTGTGTGTGTGTGTGTGTGTGTGTCTATGTGAGTGAAAGCCAAGAGTATACCTCCAGACTTCATATGAAGTAAATTTTTAAAATGTGTTTGTATTTTAGGTGCATTGGTGTTTTGTCCTCTTCTTGGTTATATTTTCATCCCAAAATCTGACATCTTCCCCCAGCATCCCCAGTGCAAACCAGGTCTGCATGGCTGTATTCACATAACTCTCGGCTGGTGACATGTAACCACCAGAGTTCACTAATGCCAGCCTGGTCCCAGAGCCGCATCAGCCCCAAATATCATGCAGAGAAGCTGTATTAGATATAAAGCTGCTGGCCTGTTACTAGCATTTCTTATTGGCTAGCTCGGTCTTAAATATTAACCCATTTCTATCAATCTAAGTGTTTCCACGTGGTCTTACCTTACCGGAGAGAGGGTCCTGACCTCTCAAGTCCCTACATCTTGACTCTCCTCTACTACATCTCCCAGAAGCCTCCTTGTCTCCTAGTCCCGCCTATCTTGCCTTCCTATTGGCCAACAGTGCTTTATTGACTAACCAGTAAGAGAAACATTTACAGAATGACATCCCCCGTCACCTGCCCACCTCCCCTCCCACGCCACTTGGTCCTCTCTTACCTCCTTGCATCACCTCAGGAACAGAATGGGAGCGGCTGTGCTGCTGGGCACGAGTGTGTACCGTTTCCAGTTATCCTTGTGTTCTCCTCAATCTGCTACCCGATTCCTCTCACTTCCAGGCAGATTTGCCTGGGAGCTAAGCACCAGAAGGGGGCGTCTACTCTTTCTTCTGGAAAACTAAACTTGACTTGGTTTAGTTTGAGGCAGGGCCTTGTTTTGCAATCCTGGCGACCACAAACTCCCCGGCTCAAGTGATCCTGTTGCCTCAGGCCCTCACCAGCTGGGTCTACAGACAAACAGCATTGCACCTAGGTTAAAAAACAAAAACAAGACCAACTACTTTTACGTAAGCCACCTAGGCATACAGTGGAAGTCAGCAAACTTTTTTCCAGCATAGTCTTCCTTAAAGTCAATGCAAACACCCTTGGGAAAGGAAAAGCAGTCAATGAAACCCAAAACTTCTGTTTTGAGGAAAAAAATCATTACAATCATAAAGCTTCTATACCCCAGTGTTTCTCAGCCTTCCTAACGCTGTGGCCTGTTAATAGTTTCTCATGTTACAGTGACCCCAACCAGAAAATGGTTTTCATTGCTACTTCATAACTGTAACTTTGCTATTGTTATGAACCATAATGTAAAATGTTTTCCGATGGTCTTAGGTGACTCCTGTGAAAGGGTGGTTTGACCCCCAAAGGGGTCATTTGAGAAACACGGCTCTAGCCAGCCTGATCAGGGATAAAAGACAAAAAGCAAGCATGGTGGGTGTCAAGAATGAGAGGAAACATCTCTACAGACCCTGAAAGAAAAACATGGGTACATTATGGACAACTTTTTGCCAGTTGAATCTACAGAAAGTGGACAGATTCTACCACAGATACAAAGTAACAGAGCTCTAGTCAAGATGTAGCTTCAAGACAGTAAGTGTGGCTCAGTGGTAGAGAACTTGCCCAGCCGCAGGTTCCACCCGGAGGGAAGAAGAAGGAAGAGGAGGATGGGAGGAGGAAGCTTTCGCCACTTGATCCATTCTTCTTCTCTTTTAAAGGAATGTAATCTGTGGGTCACAATCTTCCCACAAAGAAAACTTAAAATCTAGGTAACTTCATCAGTGAACTCCATCAACACAAAAGATACGGCCTCTCTTAAGGTGATTTTCTCAGATGATGTCCCGGCAACAAAACACTGACGCCACAGACTTTGTGTTATTCACTGATGCCTCAACGAAACAAAGTCCACAGAAACTATTGACTATCCACAAAGGCACCAATTCAATGAGGATGACATATATTATACATGAATATATTAATATACAATATATAAATTATGTATAATTTTTTGAGAGAGGATCTCACTATGTAGCCTCTGCTGGCCTCTGGAAGTCAGAGAGGGGCCTGCCTCTGCCTCCCTATTGTTAGGATTAAAGACGTGCCACCACACCCAGCTTCTCTGTCCTTCCTTTTTTTTTTTAACATTTATTTTGCTTGTATGTGCCTGTGGTTGTATATATTCCATGGTACACTTGTAGCAATCAGAGGACAGCTTGTGGAAGCTGGTTCTCTCCTTACACCATTCAGGTCTCTGAAATCAAACACCAGGCAGTCAGCCTTAGTGCTAAATACCTTTACCTGTGCGGGCATCTTGTCACCAGGAAGCATATCAATCTTAACAATAATACTGGGATAATCTGATGACTGGTGCACAATTATGAGCCCCAGTGCTTACCTGACACATGTACAAAAACTAACTCAAACACAGGCCTAAATATAAGTTAAAGCTATACTACTCCTAGAATAAAATACAAGCGAAATTATCATTCACCTAAGGTTTAAATTTTATTAAATTCAAAACGATTTGTTGCTGCTAAGTAAGGCAGAACACGCCTGCAATTCCCGCACTTGTGAGGCTGGAGGATTCCACGGGCAAGGCCAGCCTATCTCTAAAAACCAAAATACAAATAAATTCAACTAATTTGACTCTCACGTTGAAATAGTCAAGGCTGTCTTCCTATGAGTGTTCACGGATGTCGCATTAAAGACGTGTTTCCAGTGCGTGAAACTCCCCAATGGCAGGCAACGTGTTCTTTTCAGTTTCTGGGTCCCCCTTTAAGCACCCAGCCATGACATCATTGCACCGACGCCGCGCAGCCTACCTTGGCAACGCCCGGCTCTCTTCCGGGCCGCTTCAATTGGCTGGCTGGCTCTAAGATGCCCCGCCCCCGCCCCCCCCCCGCAGTCTGCCCCGGAGCCTGCCATCAATCAGGCCGGTTGGCAGCTGTGATTGGCCACGGGGTCGGGTTCGCGTAGGCATCGCACTGGGGGAGGGGCGCGGCGCCCCATCTAGAGTCGCCACCGTCCGGGTCCCCCGCGCGCCCGTAGCCCGCCGGTCCTCCTGCAGCCCGCCTGCTGGGCAGGGCCGGCTCGGCCCGGCCATGGAGTCCTACGACATCATCGCCAACCAGCCCGTAGTCATCGACAATGTGAGTCTGGGCAGCGGGGGTGGGGGAGGGCTGTGTCCCGCCCAGGGGTCGCACGCGGCGCCACGCAGTGGCCCGTGCTGGTGGGGCCAGGTGTGGGCCTCGGGACCACTTCCCTCGGAGCCCAGGATGTGCGGGACAGCTGCACACAGCCAAGAGGTCCTTGGAGCTCCAGGCAGGTGGACGCGTCTGTCTTGGGTGGAAGTGCTGGGCAAGTTTCGACCCCCCGCCCCCGGCCCTTTGCCTGGTGGTCAGCTTGATGTAGGCTGGCTGACATCTGACCTTTGCACACTGCCGGCCCCATCTTTTGGAAGACCTGGTGATCTTTACAACATTTCATAAGGGGCTGCACCTAGAGCTAAAAACACTGCTCGTTCATCCCTACCAGCCAAGTACCCTCCAACACTTGGCGCGGTCCTTGCCGCTTTAACCCCTCTCTAAAATCCCTTTGGACAGTGCAGGACCACTTTTAACCAGGACGGAGCAGCAGCAGTTGGGGTAGTTTCCCAGCCTGAAAGGAAGGAGGCCCATCTTCCCGAGGCTTTGTCTTCCAGAGCCCGGGTTCTGCTTGCCTTGGCTTCCCTGGGAGATGCCTAGCCTCAAAGCCCTTCTTGACATGGCTGGGGTTTCCGTGGCTATGCCTAGATGATGCCTCTGGTGTGTAGGCCATGGAGTTTTTGACAGTGACACACTTCTGCTCTTTCTGGGAGCTGACTCCTACCCACGTGACCCCCGGATGGTCCCTCTGTGGCTGCCTTTTTTTTTTTTTTTTTTTGGACTCTCTTAAATCATAACAAGATGTTTATCATAGAGGCTAGTCCTGGGCTCGGCGATGTGCCTGTCCAGCCAGTGCTCTGGAAACTACAGTGCACTTTCCTTCTTGGTGGTCAACAAACTTATGACCTCAGAGGCACCCGCTTGGCTCCTTTTGGGCTTGGAGGCCCTGGCCTGTAACTTGGACATGCTTGTTTCTGTCCTGCACACCCAGCAGTTGTGATGGAGAGGTGGGCAAAGGGCAGGAGAAGGTGATGACTGAGTGGAAGGTTTGCCAGGTTCTTGTTGAAATCCTAGGTCCGGCTTCCAGGCTGGAGCAGGGTCAGGGCCGGTTTCACCTGTCTTCCCACACACCAAGCGGTCTCCCCGGGGGCCCGGTGTGTGGTCTGTCTCTGCTGGTGAAGAAAGGGACTCTTGAATAGGGCGGCACTGAGGGGTAGCATCTAGCTATCTTTGGAGTGTAGCTGTAACCCTGCTCCCACAGGAACTAGCCATAGCATTCCCAGAGGAGGATGTGTGTAATGGTTTCTCTCTCCTCGCTGATACCCTTCTGGTGCTGGTGACTGCTGGTAGCGGAGAACCTGGGCACTGTAGAGCATTGGGCAGCGACCCTGACCACCCGCTAGTGCCCCTAACAGCCCATCATCTGTCTGCCCCTTGAGTCTCCAGATGCAGCCAAATAAAAAATCTCCAGGACAGGAAATGCAGTATCGATTCCAGTTTCCAGCTGCTAGTGCTTGTAAATGGTCTTGTCCTCCAGGTGTGGTCTCAGGCTTCCTCCCTACCCAGCCTTGGTGGGGCTGCCAATGCTGGCCACTTGGGGGACCCTGGCTGCACCTGATTCGATGGCAGGAGCTAAACATTGCTTTCCCTTGCAGGGTTCAGGGGTGATCAAGGCTGGTTTTGCAGGGGACCAGATTCCTAAGTACTGTTTCCCAAACTAGTAAGTGTGGCTGGAGCATCAGCCCCCCCCCCCACCTCCCTTATTTTCTTTGGGAAGAGAGTGTGTGTGTGTGTGTGTGTGTGTGTGTGTGTGTGTGTGTGTGTGTGTACACGTGTGAATGTGTGCATCGGGTCCTTTGGTCACAGCTTCCCCTCCACCTGTAAGAGGAAACACCGGATTGGTGAGCTCTGGGAGACCTAGGTGCTGGGTTTCCTCTTCAGAGCCTCTTACCTTTGTTTTTGGCAGAGCCTGAGAGGGAGGAGAAACAGCCAGCATTGCCCTGGGGATGGGGTGTGGTGATGGCTGTAGCAGGGAAAGAAGGGACCTCTCTCCAGGGAAAGAGCTAAACTCCCATGAGAGTAGGGGGAGGGTACACAGGCATTGCTGCCTCCCTGGAAAGGTTTTTCTGATTACTGTGGAGTTTGGGAGCCTCCTGAAAGGCAAGCGTACATTCATTCTAAGCTGTAACCCCTAACCCCTAGAAATGTTTTCATCAGGACTCATTTATATTTAACATCTAGGAAATTTTCCTGTCTAGCCCTCCCCACACATACCCCAGGTGGTACTGGTGGCAGCAGAAATGCCTGGGTATAGTAGCATCCTAGAGATCCTAGAGTACCTGGGCCCTACCTTCCCCACTGGGAAGTTTCTCTCTGGAGCCTCTCGGAGCCTGAAGGATCTGTGCGTGGCCCACAGGTCAGAGCTGGACCCTGAAGTCCCCTGTCTGGGGACAAGGCCAGCCTGAGCACCCTGAGGGTGCGCTGAAAGGCTCCACCCACTCTGGTGGGTGTCGGGGAAAGCTGCTGGTACGTGGGGAATGTGGGTCACGATTTGGAATGGCTGCTCATCAGATACATGCGTGCCAAGAACTGAATCTCTATTCTGGAAGCTGTGGTGGTGGCCAGGGACAGTGGCCACTGTGAGAGGGATGTACAAGGAAGCCACTACCCAGTTCTGGGGCTGTCCTCCGTCTGTCAGCCGACGAGAGGGTGGGCAGAGTCAGTGTGGCTAACAGGAGGCCCATGCTGGAGCCAGCCCATGAGGGGCCCGCCACTCACACTCAGCCCTCCCTGGAGAGAGGCCCATTCCTTCAGACCCTCGCACTGTTTGTACTTCTAAGACCCATGTTGCAGCCCACTACCCATAAGCCTAGGCTCTGACCTTTGCCCTGGCGGCCCTCTAGGGCTCTGCAGTTGGGCTACAGTTTTCCTGGACACAGGTTCAGCCATGCACCTGCCCAACTCACTGACCTTCTGTGTCCTGGCAGTGTTGGACGGCCCAAGCACGTGCGGATTATGGCTGGAGGCCTGGAGGGGGACCTCTTCATTGGACCGAAGGCAGAGGTAACTGGCCCTTGGCGGAGTTGCTCAGTCACAGGAGAGCTGGCTGGCGGTTTCTAGGGTCTCTGTGCCTTTTTGGCTCCTCTTGATTGTTCGTTGCTGTGTACGTGGCAAGGCAACCCCCCTTCTGTGAGATGTGAACAAGACGGCACTCCTGAGGGGTGTGCTTGGGCCCCCTGCCCTCTTTCAGACAGTTTGGAAACTGGGAGAAAGAACTGATTAAGATCATAAGCCTGTGACCACAGCCCTTGGGAGGGGTGGAGGCAGGAGAATCGGAAGTTCAAATCATCTTCAGCTACCCCCAAAAGTGACGGGTGGACATGACCCTCTGCTGTGAGGGCTGGGGCCGTTTCTTACTGTGGCTAGACTGCCATCCCTGGGGACTAAACAAGCAAATCAGACTCGAGGGATAGAGGGAGGAGCCAGGCCAGCATGGGCAGGAGTCAGGCACCCACCCGGGGAATAAAGGCACAGTCTGGGGCCTGGCAGGGGGAGGGAATAGCAGGGCAGATGAGCTGCTCCTGGGGGTGAGGACCAGCCGTGTCCACTAGAGGGATGTCTGAGGGCGGGTGGGGGGTGGCGTCTCCTGTAGAAGACAGATGAAGACAGACTAGAGAGCCGGGCCAACACAGAGCCCTGGCTGTACTCTGGAAGAGCGATGGCCCCAGGTGGCCTAGGAGGGGCTGTGCTGTCAGGAACACTGGCTGGCGTGCTGAAAGCGGACCCTGACCAAGGCATCAGGAGACACTGCAGAGTTCAGGCAGTGAGGGAGGGAGCACGTAAGAGGGGGATTGTGGGATGGGGCATATTTCCAGGAGTCTTTCCCTGGGTAGATGGAAACAGTGGCTCTTTTTTAAGGCCCCAGTGAGAAACCAGACTACTGAAGCTCACCCCGGGGGACCAGAGGCTTTATTGATAGGGTGTGAGTGAGGGGCTGGTGTGGGAGCAATCTTCACTCTTCAGTTAGCCTTCCCCAGCCTATAAATGCTAGCATCCAAGGCCCCGAGACCATGTGCAGTCAGGACAGAGCTACTTATGAACACCTGGGGGAGGGGTGGGAGGGAGAAATCTCAGGTGGGGTCCAGTGCCCCTCCCGCCCCCTCCCCCCTCTAAGGGAACCCAGCGGGCCATCAAAAGGTTTCTCACAAGCTGATCCGATGAAAACGGCTCCTCTTCTGCATAGGTATCTGGCCATTCTCCAACTTCAGCAGAGTGCCCAGCAAGCCCTCCTAGCGTCTTGAGCGTCTCCCATGTCTGTAGTCTTGGTGGTGTTCCTTCTGCAAAACCCAAGTACAAACATGGGAAGAGGGGAAACAGAGAGGCGTCCAGTAGAAGCTGTGAGAACCCAAGTGCAAAAGCAGATACTTGGAAAAGTACATGACATTCACTTACAAAGTAACTGCAGTTCTTTCCTTCTTAGGGCCTGTGACTGTCCCCGACCGACCGTGCAGCATTCTGTCTGAGCTCACGGTACCAGATGTAAATTCCTGTCTACTGAGCAAGCCTTAAGCCCAGTCAGAAAGTTGGCAGTGTCAGTAACAGTTCTTGCCATTATTGTACTGCCTGGGACATCTTGCCTGTCATCTCCATAATGTAGCGTGCGTGTGATGTCCGAGTAGAACTTTGGACCACAATTTTCCCCCAGAAGCCTTCGTAGCGCCTTTCAACGCTATAAAGGCTAACCAGTGGACAGGGGAAATTTCAGTCTCAGCAGGATTTTACCACATCCTGCAGCCAACATGACTGCAGCCAACAGGGTCTTACCCGCCACTTTCGCTACACGCCCGACAGCGTTAACAGTGGCCTTTATTGCTTAGAGGGCTTAGAGGGCCTCCCTGGTCAACCCACCCCAAGCACTGGGATTCTCAGTTGACCTCAAACCCCTCAAAGGTCTATCTCACACCCTCACAAGGGACCCTGCATTCACTCTTAACTTTTCCATGCAAGAGTTGCATGCAGAAACCTCCTACTTACCTTTGTGGGTGTCTTAGGGTTTCTGTTGTTGCGATGAAGCATCATGACCAAAGGCAGGTTCATCTTAGAAGGAAGTCAGGACGAGAACTCAGACAGGGCAGGGTCCTGGCTGGAGGCAGGAGCTGATGCAGAGGCCATGGCGAGGTGCTGCTCACTGGCTTACTCGGCATGCTTTCTTACAGAACCCAGAACCTCTGGCCGAGGCATTGAACCACCTACCTTGGGGCTGGGCCCTCCCCCATCAGTCACTAGGATGTCATCCCTGCCTGGCCTGACCGTAAAGCCCCCAGGAGTCTCACTTGTGCCTGGCCCTTGCACCCTTTGTAACCTCTCCCTTCAGACCCTTGACCCTTTAGGCGCACTGTTAAGTTTTTCAGATGGGTTTCCAACCCTACAGGGCACTCGGGTTAGCATTAACCCGAGTTATGTCCTCTATATAATTAAACCCTTTCAACCCAGGATGCTCAGGATGACAAAGCAAGGTCCTAGGTCCCCATCCCATGACAAATAGTAGGGTTGTAAAGATAACTTCGAAGTACTTTGGGAGTCCATTCCAGGCAAGTATCGGTTTCCAGAAACCCAAAGCTGAGTAAACATTAAGTTCAGTACATCGTCAAAGGATTCCAATTTCCTTTCTTTTTTTAAGACGCTGGGGGTTGGTTTTTATTTTAATTTTTTGTGCAGTGATTGATGTTTTGCCCGCATGTATGTCTGACTGTGTGAGGACGTCAGATCCCCTGGAACTCGAGTTACAGACAGTTGTGAGCTGCGGTGTGGGTTGGGAGCTGGGAATTGAACTCAGGGCTTCTGGAAGAACGGCAGTGCTCTTGACTACGGAGCTCCAGCATTTTTCTAGTCTTGACATACTCAGTAGGGCTCAGGTGGCTCAGCTGATCAGACCTAAGGCCGAGGGGAACAGTATTTTATACCTCCCACCCCGCATTCGGCTGCTCCTTCTTGCCTTGAGACTGGTGTGTCCTTGGTTGCCATTCCAGTACCGCTGCAGCCAGATGGTACCTCTCCATTTGCCACACCTGGCTGCCAAAGGGACTTCTATTTGGGTGACTAATCTGTGCTCCCCTCTCCCAAGAGAAAAATACACACCGCATATTCAGGGGAGGAAGCTGCCCAACTCTGGTCAGACGTAATCCTTTTCCCCAGTACTGCTGTAGAGCATCTCTGTTACCCTGAGGCTTGTCTGCGATGCCCTTGGGTGCTACCAGGGAACCAAGGAACACCTAGTTCTAGCACCCACCCAGGCCCAAATGGTTTTGGGGAGAGGGGGGCTGGGTGTCATGAAACAAGGCACAGGCAGGAGGCAACTTGGGAGTGTGCAGCAGCTGCTTTGAGAGGGCCAGGCGCTATGTCTGTCTTCCCCCCTGCCCTCCAGGAGCACCGAGGGCTGCTGACCATCCGCTACCCCATGGAGCACGGTGTGGTGCGAGACTGGAATGACATGGAGCGCATCTGGCAGTACGTCTACTCTAAGGACCAGCTGCAGACCTTCTCCGAGGAGGTGTGGTAGCCACGCTTGCCTCCACACTCCCAGCTCCCGGCGGCCCCTCCCGCTCCCCGTCTGCAGATTGATAGGACTTGCCCTGCTCTCCCTGTGTGTGTGTGACTCCCTCATCTCTCCTAGCATCCTGTTCTTCTGACGGAAGCCCCACTGAACCCCAGTAAGAACCGGGAGAAGGCGGCAGAGGTGTTCTTTGAGACCTTCAATGTTCCTGCACTGTTCATCTCCATGCAGGCCGTGCTCAGCCTGTGAGTGCCCAGCCTGGCGTCCCTGGAGGCATAGCCTCTCGATCCCCTCCATGCCCGTTTCTACAGTAGTATAAATAATATCCCAAGGGCTGGAGAGATGGCTCAGAGGTTGAGATCACTGGCTGCTCTTCCCCGGGGTCCCGAGTTCAGTTCCCAGCAACCCACATGGTGGCTCACAACCGTCTATAATGAGGTCTGGTGCCCCCTTCTGGCCTGCAGGCGCACATGCAGTCATAACTCTGTAATATTAGCCTGGTGTCGGGGTTGCCTTTAATCCCAGCACTCAGCCTGGTCTACAGAGCTAGTTCCAGGACAGGCTCCAAAGCCATACAGAGAAACCCTGTCTCAAAAAACAAACAAGCAAACAAAAAGCAGCATGGTACTACCCCAGGGCCCCTTGCGGGGTTGAGGAGGCCGTCCCTCCTCGGTGGCTGACGTAAATGAATGTTGACCTGGCGGCAGGTATGCAACAGGGCGCACAACAGGAGTGGTTTTGGACTCGGGGGACGGGGTCACTCACGCTGTCCCCATCTATGAGGGCTTTGCCATGCCACACTCCATCATGCGGGTAGACATCGCGGGCCGTGACGTCTCTCGATATTTGAGGCTGCTGCTGCGCAAGGAAGGGGCTGACTTCCACACCTCGGCTGAGTTTGAGGTTGTCCGGACCATCAAAGAGGTGATAAAGGGCTTGGGGGTGTGGACATGGCCGGGGCCGGGGCGGCCAAGACGTGAAAGCAAGCCCTGGGTACAAGCACAAGCATCCCCGCTAAGAGTGTGCCCTGCCCACACAGCGAGCCTGCTACCTGTCCATCAACCCGCAAAAGGACGAGGCTCTAGAGACCGAGAAGGTGCAGTACACCCTTCCAGACGGCAGCACACTTGATGTAAGTGGCCAGGCCTGATTCTAGGGTGGTAGCCCAAGCTGACCTGGAGGGAGAGGACTGGGCTCCTCTGGGGAAGGTGCTTCAGTCTTCTTTCCCACAGGTGGGGCCCGCACGCTTCCGGGCCCCTGAGCTGCTGTTCCAGCCAGACCTGGTGGGGGATGAGAGTGAGGGGCTCCATGAAGTCCTGGTCTTCGCCATCCACAAGTCCGACATGGACCTTCGCCGGACGCTCTTCTCCAATATTGTGCTCTCAGGGGGTTCAACACTCTTTAAAGGTACTGCTGGGGAGACCGTGGCAGGGCCAAAGGCCCGGGGTAGCCAGCTCCTCAGACCACCTGCTCTCTGCAGCCAGCAATGAATTAAAGTATGCCAGGCGTGGGGGCGTACACCCGCCATTTCAGTATAGGGGTTGAGGAGGGAAGATGGTGAGCTCAGGGCCAGCCTGGATTACAGAGGTGTCTTCAGGGAAGACGTAGGGACAGGTGGCACCGAGTGGCTTTAGGTTACATCTCATGTCAGTATCCCAGCAAGCTGTGCCCACCCGCAGCCAGGGCGCTGGAAGAGGGGTGGCAGCAGCTAGGGGTGAAAGGTCACCATGGCAAGTGGTGGGCTGTGGTCCAGACTTGGCCATCCTTGCATCCACAGGCTTTGGAGACAGGTTACTAAGTGAGGTAAAGAAGCTCGCCCCAAAGGACGTTAAAATCAAGGTGAGACTGGAAACCTCTGGGGAGAGGGTGCTGAGGTGCCGGCCTTCAGGGAGATGGGAGCCGTCCCCATTCCCCACCCTGCCCTCGCCGCCTTGGGTTTGAGGGTGATGGCTGTGTAGGGACGGGTGGTTGTGTAACCATCTGCTCCTCCTAGATTTCAGCCCCTCAGGAACGGCTATACTCCACGTGGATCGGGTAAGGCAGGGCGCAGACCCAAGGGCGAGGGAAGTGGATGGATTTCTTTCCCAAGTGAGGCCCCGGGGGATGGCAGCTGGCCCCGCCCACAGGTACCAAAGAGTATCCTCTCCACCCTTACAGCGGCTCCATCCTCGCCTCCCTGGACACCTTCAAGAAGATGTGGGTATCCAAAAAGGAATACGAAGAAGATGGCTCCCGTGCGATTCACCGCAAAACCTTCTAATGCCCAGGGAGGGTGGACGTTCTGGGGGAGGGGAGGGGAGGGGGGAGCCTCGACCCCTTTTGGTCTGGGTTCGGTTCTAGGCCTAGGGCCCCCTGCATGCCCTGACTCTGGAGCAGGTGGTGCGGTCATGCTCACCTGTAGCCCTCCCCTCCCCCTGCGCTCAGCATACACAAACAGACACAGTAAGGTTTAGCCACACGGATGGCAGTCCCAAGCTGGAGCACGGGCGCTCACCCCAACCTTTAGTTGGTGTGCGCGACCCTCTCAGCGGGGTCACTTTGGCCTGTGGTTCCTTGCTCTGATCTTGAAGCTCCAAGACCAGATACTCGGATGCCTCATTTGTTCTGACAGCTCCCACTGGGCTGGAGTCCCTGGACCACTGGAGTGGGCCGAGGGGTAGGCGGGGGCTCCCACTGGGGTGGTGAGGCACACTGGTGTGTTTCATGCCAGTTTCCTCTTCTTGGCTCGGCAGGGCTGCCTGGAGCCTTGTACACCCAGAACTGCTGGGCGGATGTCCTAGCGAGGACTAACTAGGGAACCGTCCTCCGTTGCCAGTGAGGGGTTGTGACCAAGGGTCAGAATCAGAGCCACGGGCAGCCACGGTGTGGTGTGCCCTGCTCCCTTTCAAGGCACTACAGTGACTTCCAACCCCCACCCCGTTTTCCCTCCGTGCCCTGGACTTGACTTGCTGAGAGAAAGCCATTTAATCAGGGGTCAGACCCAAAGGGCAGGCACGTCCTCGCCTCCCTGAAGAAAGGTCTTCACCATGGCCAGGGCCCCACCTCCCTCTCCAGAGCTGAACAATAATTTAACACAGTTGCCTGAAAAATAATTCTTTTTATAAATCATTATAGTAATAATTGTGGACATAGCCCAATGTGTGACTCTGATTTTTGGGGCTTTATGTGCTCTTGTTTGCTCACTTGTCCCTGGGGATTTAGGACCAGAGGGAACTCGGCATGACACTGGCATGTAGCTCAGGAGTTTGAGGCCTTCGGTGGTTGCCAGGGCAACAGAACAAGCCTCATTACCTGCTTGCTGCGATCCGGTAGGGGAGGCAGAGCCAGGCTGCCCTCCCTGCATGGCCCCGGACAGGGCTGCCACGGGAACCTCACATCTCACGCAGAGTCACGAGGGTGCTGGCAGCGATGCAGACTTACTGCCCTGGGGCAGGTTGGCGAGGGCGGCTTAGGAGGGGCCCAGGCCCCACAGGGAGCAGTAGAACAGACAGGAAGCCCTGTAGGCAGTGGGCACTCAACAGGTAGGGAAGTCTGTGCCTGTTAGTGTGTCTGCACCTGCCACAGGGCACGGCTTTGCGCCTGCAGGGGAACAAAAGGACTTTGCCCCAAGTGGCATTCAACTCAAAAGAGAAAGGTGCCAGCCATGTTGGGACAGCGTTGGAGCCGAGAAAGCAGACAAGCTGGCTTGTGAGAGCTTGGGGCAGTCCGTGGTTAAGGAGAGTCCTTGAGAGTTGTTGGCAAGGATGGATTAGTTGGTCTGTAGCACAGTGACAGACACCAAAGAGGCCAGTTGGGCTAGCATACCGAGGGTCTGGAGAAGGGTGCTTAGCTGTGTACTAGGCGACAGCTTTCACTATGGAAGGGTAGTGAGCAGAAGAACCAAGTGTTGAAAGCTATAGGCCAAAGCACTGATCAGGTGTGCAGGGATTCCGTGTGGCCATATGGTCAAAGCATAGGGGCCCTGCAAACCAGCTCTGTGCAGGGCTCTGCTGCCACCACTGGCTCCCAGACGCCTGTGTCTGGAACCTTACTGCTGAGGTCCTCCCTCCTCACATGCCCCATACTCTGTCGGTCTCCAAGTGTGTGCTCCTGCAGGCCCCTCGCTATCATCCTTTCCCATCAGGGCCGCCCCCAGCCTAACTCATTGTGTTTGCTCTCATAATCTACTGTGCGGGTAACCACACTGTACTGTTATAAGCCATACAATAAAATACTCATGAGTCGGAAGAAGAAACAGCTCTCCATTCAGTACAATTCCAGTTCATGTAAAACTCCACTTCCTGGGAAAGTAAAACGGCTGGCATGATGCTGGAAACATCACCTCTAGGAACCACACATTGCAACATCTGAGGTTGTGTTGCAGGCCATCCTGTGTCCTGTTTTGCTTGCTAGCAAACAGGAATCACCCCCTTATACACATCAAAATGACAGTCATGTTCTTTAAGACAAAGGCCTCCCTCTGTAGCCCCCATACACCTCTGGCAGGGATGGCCTGGTGAGAGCTGGCCTGCTGTGTTGGAAAAGAGCTATGGCTGAGGGAAGCAGCTAGACTAAGCCTTGAGTTGTACTGGGTTACAGGTATGAACTGGTTTATTCTACTAATGCTGAAACACTTACCTGTGTGCACCCAAGCACCAGGTTAGGATATAGATGGGTTTTCTACCTCTGTCTGTCTGTCTGTCTGTCTGTCGGGCCTAGAATTAGTGGCACCCCAGAAACAACGAGCAGAGTCCAGGTCTATCCTTCGGTCTCTAAAGGGAAACACAAGATACAGCTATGCCTTGTGGCACTGGAAAGTAAGAGCTCAAATGACTTAGCTGAGTAACACATGGGCCGACTTGAAGCGGCCAACGCTCCTGTCTCTACTGTATTAGAAACCACACAATAAAATATTTGTGAGTCCTTAGTGATACGTGACTAAAAAGGGGCTGGGCGATGGCTCGGTTGACAAAGTGCCTGCCATGCACTTGAAGGCCTGAGTTCGTGTGTAGGATATCTCCCCTTGAGTTGCTGAGGCGTATTGTCCCAAACAATGACAATACAGGCCACTGCCTACTTTTGGCTGTCCCTGGTACTTGATGGATGGTAAGATCTTATCACTGAGGATGCTCACACATTGGCCACAGGACATGGAAAACTCAACTGTAAGTGACCAGCTCCGTGACTGGCTAGTTCTCAGCACTGGAAGGTCCTATGGAGGCTGCTGTGGGGGAAGAGTTAAGTCTTACCCAGCTGGGAACTGGAAAACTGGAGTGACTGGCTTGGCAAGAGGTGCCCACGGAAGCAGCAGTGACACCAATGTCCAGGGAGAAAGCAACCGCTTTCCTATTGAATAAGAAATGTGTGCCCGGGTACTGCAAATCTGTCGGAAGAACCCGCGGCTGGGGAAGCTCACCAACCCCAGGGGTGAACTTACTGCTACTATTTTGCTAAAAGGACAGTATCAAACTCCCCTCTTTCTACCCAAAGACACGGAGACTAAGTGACTATAGAGTGCTCAGCCACAAATGACATCTGTTTATTACTCCCCTTCCCCAAGACTCAGAGACTATCAGGGAAGACGGGATGGGAAGTCTGTAAGAGCCAGATGTTGGGAAAGACAACTGAAACCCTCCCAGCTGTGATAGGACAGTGCACTCAGAGCTCCCAGCAGCTCTGACTGCCCGCACTAGCTCAAGGCAGTCAACAGGTTCAAGAACCCACCCGATGAGGGACTATAGACAGTTGATTGCCTCTGGGGGAGAGTCTGTGTTCTTTAAGTTACTGATAGGGTGAGTGTGCTCCAATAGATGCCCAGAAGTACATGGACAGCCTAAACTGGAGTCAGACTGGTTATTAAAATTTAAAAGCCACTGACAATGACATCACAATGGAAGACAATATGACTCTGAACTGGACTCTCATGATGGACAGACACTGGACAGCTGGGTGTGGGTATGGTGGCACACACCTGTAATCCCAGCAACCAGGAGGCTGGCACAGGGGGTATTGAGTTTGAGGCCAGCAATCAATCTCAATATCTCTCTCTCTCTGTGGTGTGTGTATGCATCTGTCTGCCTGTTTGTCTCTCCTCTCTGTCTCACATGCACACAAAAACAAAAAAAACCCAAAATGTAAACATGTAGGAAAACCTGATGTCTAAGGATTAGATGATGGAAATATCTAAACTGCTGTCTCAGTTTTTCACAGTCACTTGGCAGAGATTAAGTCAAGTCTGTAAGGTGGAGCAAAAGGGACTGGAGATGTGGCTCAGGGGGTGAAGACACTTACTACACAAGCTTGATGTCCTGAGTTAATCTCCCAAATCCATATAAAGAAGGAAGGACAGAACCAACTTCACAGTTATCCTCCGACTTCTATGTGTGCTGTGCCCACAAACACTGCACATGTATGCATGCATGCACACAGAATAAAAAATATACACCAGGTGTGGCAACATGGCTTTAATCCTAGCACTCAGGAGAGGCAGGTGGACCTCTGAATTTGAGCCAGCCTGGTCTATACGGAGTTCCAGACCAGTCAGACTATATGGTGAGACCCTATCTCAAAACCTAAACAGAAAGCCATATACACATGTATGACAGAGCATCAGATTGGCAGTTTACATGGGTCCTGGAAATGTTTCCTCCTGATCTTGCAGATAATTTAGTGAAGTCTATATTTTCCCTTGGTTTCAGGAGACAAAACCAAAGGTTCAGATGAAATCTTCTTGGTCAGAATACTGCATTTCTTTCTTACTAAATGGTCCAAGGAGGTACAGGAGCTACTCCAGTCCACGAGACTAGCAAAGTTGAGTTCTTGGCCTTTGCCGCAGCCTAGAAGCACCTGGGGAAACTTTGAGGACTGCTACCCGAGTCCTACCCCAAAGACTATGTTGCTGTGGTTTAGTATGGCCCAGGTCCTAACATTCATACATCTTCGGGTGACTCCCAAGTGCAGCTAATTCAAAGACCTATGGACTCAAGGATTTACTAGCCTGGTTTTGTATGTTATTGCTGCTATAAAAAGTTAATCACAAATGTAGTGGCTTAGAATATAAACTTATTGTTATATATACCAGTTCAGCACGGGTCTCACTCGGCTAAAATTACAGCATCTACAGGCCTTCATGTCTGGGATCTAGATAATCACTCCTGTCTCCCTTCCAGAGACCACAAGCATTTCTTGGCTCAAGGCCTCTTTCCTGTGTTCGCATCGTTAGGTCTCCCTTTCTCTTCCATCTGGATAACCCAGTCTCTCTGATTTTTAAACTATTTATTTTGGTGTGCACAGCACATGTGTAGAGGGCAGAGAACTTACGGGAGTTGGTTCCCTCCTTCTACCATGTGGGTCCCAGGGACTGAACTCAGGTCATCAGGCTGGGCAGCTGGTACCTTTATCTGCTGAGCCAGACAGGTGGCCAGACAGACAGTTGTCCCTAGTTCTAAGCTCAGCAACCTCAATTCCACCTACAACCTTAGTTCCTGTTTGCTGTGTGACCTAACGCTGCACAGGTTTTGGGGTTTAAGATGTGGACATCTTGAGAGGATTATTGTTCTGCCTACCACAGCCTGTCAATGTCCTGGAGACTTTCCTTTCTGTCCTGATTACAATCCTTAAGAGAAAAGCAGCAAGGAGGATCTGGCAATGAGAAGCCAAGAGAACAAAGACTGACTTAATGGTCCAGCTCATCCTATGCACTTTGAAGGAGTGGAAAGGAAAAGTACAGTATAAGGCGCTGCAGACAGAGCTTCCCAGTAGCACCTGGATCTAGCGTCTGGTAGATACGGGGAATAGCACCTAAACTGGGATTGTCGAGTAAGATGGAATACCATGTGGGGTCCCCTTCCCACAGGAAAGGCCTCCAGGGGCCAACCAATGCCTGAGCACCCGGCAGCAGAGATGGTCACTTACAGCCAAGAGTGGAAGCAACAGCTTACGCTACGCCTTCCAAACAGGTCAGCGAGATGGGCGAAGGGCCTTTCTCCTAGGCTTCCCATCCCTGAATTCAAACTCAAAATTACGTATGCTGAGTGCCTGGCAAATTTAAATATAAAATGGAAAGATGGTGCCATTTTACAGAAGTTTGTTTTGAGAGTATTGTCAGCATGACGGCTGAGGTGAGCTGTTACCTTCCTCCCCAATTTCTATTTCCATGGCTACTTTTGAAGAAAAACAACTCACACATAAAAATTTAGTGAATACCTAAATGTCAATATTGAGTTCAAATTACTATTATTGTTACCATGAGTCTAGGTCTGTCTATGTTGCCCAGGCTCGGGTGAGCCTCTCACTGTAAACTCTCACATAGCTAGGACTGTAAACCGCTGTGTCCAACTTAGTCTCTCCTTTCCTCCTCCGCTCTCCTTTACACTGGGCAGGCAGACTTTATTTAACGGGAACCACAGCCTAAGGAGATCACAGTGACGGTCCCCAATGGGGACAGAATGGACTACAATGTCCTTCCCCTAAATTAGATTCGGGGTTGGAAGGTGGCTCAGTAGCACGTGGCCAGTTACTCCATCGTTAGTACTAAAAAACAAAAACATCAAGATCCAAGAAGGCTCACATTGCCATTGCTTTCCCCCTTTAAAACCACCACTATCCTTGTACATTTTTAAAATAAAAATCTAACAACTCTACACTGGTTTTACCTTCTCAGTAGATGTCAAGCCAGTATTAACAGATAACTGATCTCACCATAAACAAATCTATAGAGCCGGGCAGCAGTGATGCCACACACCTTTCATCCCAGCACTCGGGAGGGAGGCAGAGCTGGGCAGACCTCTGTGAGTTCAAAGCCAGCCTGAAGCACAGAGCAAGTTGCAGGACAGCCAAGAATACACAGAGAAACCGTGTCTCAAAACAAACACAAACACAAATCCCTACAGAAATAAGACTAGCCACCTATGGGAGGAGCCAACACAATGGCTGGTCTTTATTAGAGATAAGCTTCCTATCACACTCTGAAAGGGTAACGGAGGGGCTCAGTGGGCCAGCTGGTGGGGCACCAGCTTATAATGGGTTCCACAGCTTGGGCATCGCTGGGTCTCGCCTTTGTGCAGCCAAAACCAGATGACAGTGCAGTTGTCCTCTTCACCTGAAAGGGAAGAGCAGCTCAAAGTCACCCAGCCCCAGCATGCAAAGGGAGACTAACAACACTCACCTCATCCCTACAGACACAAAAACCCAAAAACTGCAGTTGACTCTAAGCGGTCACTTCAAGCAAGCCCCGCTCTTTCAGGAGAAAAAAAAGTGGCGCTGGGTTTTCCGGTGCGTGAGGTAACCTTGTATCAGGGTTACTGTGGGTTCTAACAATTCCATTCCCAAAGCAGGATCAGCAATTATGTGTATCCCTATAGCCTAAAGCAGTGGCTGGCATACAAATATACAAAAAAGAAAAAAGTCTGGGCTGGAAAGATGGTTCAACGTGGATCAAGACCATGGACTGCTCTTCCAGAGAACCTGAGTTCAATCCCCAGTGTCCAGGGGCGTCTGACTCTGGCATATTGAGGCTTGAGACAGTCAGAACCCTTGCAACAATTTATACCGGTATTTTTATGCACATATAGTCAGTCACACGCACACATCTGAAGCAATTTACATGGATTCTGTGTGGCAGGCCATGAACCAATGGACAGGAAATAAGGTACTTACAGATGCAGCCCACTATTCGCTTGTTGGTGATGGACGGGACTAAATTAGGATCTTCCTTGGTGCCCGAAGCCGCCTTTGGGGGCAGCATATTGTACGGATCCTGAAAAGGACGAGTACTGGGCGGTTATGACAGACAGGCATCCCCTGCAACTACACCGCGAAGGGGCTGTTCCCACAAGCCGGCTTTCCAGGACCGATTCCCGGCTGACTCCTCTGATGCCACCCAAGTCCAGGGCTCCGGGGGACACAGGGAGTTTTTCCTTACCAGTCCCTTCTCTGCGGCTATCATGATCTCCCTCTCCAGCCCCGTAGCCTGCTCCTCATCGGTAGGAACACCACCTAGGAGGAGGAAAATGCATCGCGCCAACTGACAGGCGCTAAAATGACCCACCCGCGCGGGGAAGGTGACACCGGCGGCTCCCCACTCCCCCGGCGCCCTGCGCCGCGACTCCCAAAGCCCTAGGGTCAAGCCAACCCCTCCAACCGCCGAAGCTCGCTTTTGCACTTTGTCTGCACCCGAGGCAACCCGAGTGGGCAAGGGATCTGACCGTCGGCGCCGCCTTCGCCCACCCCTGCCTGCCTCCCAAGGTCACCCGGGGGCGGCCGGCCCTGCAGCGCGGCCGCTGGCTCGGAGCGCAGCGCGGGACCGCGGGGCGCAAAGGCGGCCAGCGGGGCCCGAGGGAGCTCGAGGCCGACCCCGGCCGGCCGCGCCACCGCCCACCGCCCCCGGCCCCCGGCGCGCCCAGCCGGGCCTCGTACCTCCAGTGGCGACGGAGCGCGTCGCGACGGCGCCGAGGGGGCCGCGGGCCCGCAGGGCCTGGGCCGCCAGGGCGCCCGCTCCGCGAAGTAACCTTGAAGCCATGGCGCCCGAGACAAGCAGATGCACTTCCGGGAACAGGCTCGGCGGGACAGGCGGGACTTCCGGCGGCGGGCGTCTGCCAGCCTTCCGCTTCCTCCGCGCAGCCGGCCCAAGCCGCTAGGGCAGGCAGACGCTGCGCCCGCCGCGCAGGCTCCGTCGGCCCTGGACGGGGGGGCGTGGCGTCAGTCGCCACGGCAGCTGGCGGCTTTCGGGACTTGCGGCTGTCGCGCTTGCGTGCTGGCGCCGCTGGGGCGGAGCCGCCGTCGGAAGCCTAGGTCCCCCCCCCTTCACTGCAAATGACACGGGCGGACGGGAGCTCGGGGAGACTTTTGGTCTCGAACCCACAGCGATCTGGCCACCCCTGCTGGGGTTAAAGGCTTGCACCACCCTCAGTTTCCGCCTACGGTCGTTAGTGTCTGCCATGGGAGGTGATGGTGTCGGCCCCAGGCCGATGCAGGCAGGACACCTCCTGGCGGCCACTCTGCGAGGTTACGGGCCAGTGAGGAGGATCCCAGCAGGAAGGAAGGAAAGTCAATAATGCAAATGGAAACCACAGTAGGTACCGTGGCCAGAGGTCTCTAATTTAAACAGAAAACACATTCCATTGCTCCCCACTGCACACAGATACCTAAGTGTGAAAACTCACTCACGGCAGGACGACTAGAAACTTCCAAACAACTGTGCTGCCCCAATAGAGCTCCAATACCTTGTGGATTCCTGGCATATAATAATATCAAATAACTTCAGTAAGTCCGGCCGCGTATAGGTCAACCCGAGGGAAACTACAAAGAACTAAATTCGCGGATGTTGCCACCTGCCCTGTGTAGATTACTTTCTATATGCATTGGTCACAGTGTTTTATCACAGCAATAAAAAGGCATCTGATGAACACTTGTTTCTCACTCTCACAAGGTTTCCCTAAAAATAAGAGAATTTTTTTCAGGATTTGTCCGGCTTAAAAAAAAAAGTCCGACCCACGTTCTGGTCACCGAGATCGGATGTGTGAAGGCTGAGAAATGGCACAGTCCATAAAATGTACCCATGGGACCCCGAGTTTGAAGCTCAGCGCCCACATGAAGCTGGATTCAGCAGCCCATACCTGTAACACCAACATTGGGAAGGGGGGGAGCAAGATCGAGGTGAACGGCCAGTTTTGCCAAAATGGTGAGCCCCGTGTTCAGTGAGAAACTCTGTCCCAAAACATAACAGGGAGAGCGATCAAGGGCATCATGGCGTCACACACTGGCCTCTACATGCATGGACACACATGCACACACACGAGACTGTGTACACAAACACCAGGGTGTGCCCATCCCCTCCCGCCTCCCACTCCATCCACCCACCGCTGCCTTCTTTGACCTTGGAGAACAATCTGCAACCCCTGCTCTGTCACTGCCTTGGTCAAACGATCAATTTTATCGAATGGTATTTCTTTATAAGGTAATTTTTAGTTGACCTAGTGCTCTATCTCTGTGAAGAGACACCGTGAGCGTGGACATTCCATTGGCACCTGCTCACAGTTTCAGAGGTTTAGTCCGTGGTCATAATGGCAAAGAGCAGGTGGCCTGCAGTCAGACACGGCGCTGGGGAAGTAGTTTGAGGGTTCTACCTCTGGATCCACAGGCTTGGGCTTTTACAACTGCAAAGTCTACCCGCAGTATCACACTTCCGCCCACGAGGCCACACCCACTCCAACATGGCCATGCCTCCTAATCCCTGTCAAGTGGTGCCACCCCCTACACACACACACACACATACACATATACACACTCACACATACACACACACTCACATATACACACACATACACACTCACACACACATACCAACACTCACACATACACACACACTCACATACACACACACACTCACATATACACACACATACACATACACACACACTACACACATACACACACACATACACACACACTACACACATACACACTCACACATACACACTACACACATACACACACACATACACACACACTCACACATACACACACACTACACACATACACACACTCACACATACACACACACATACACACACATACACACACACACTCACACATACACACACACTACACACATACACACACACATACACACACACACACTCACACATACACACACACTACACACATACACACACACACACACAAATAACCAAGACATCAAATATATGAACCTACAGAGGCCATTCTAATTCAAACCACCACAATTTTCAAAATAAAAGCACATTGCAATAAGTCACATAACACAAATATGTAAGGAAAAAGCGGGCAATTTGCAGTTTATTCTTTCAGCCTCCCTTTCCAAGCCAAACTTTCCCAACCTCAGAGCAATTAACATTTGAGTCTGGAAATGATTCAAAGCAGGGGGAGGTGAGGCTGTCCTTTGCTTGTTGTGGGATTTGGAAGCTCTGCCTCCTAGAAGTCTCCAGGGTGACTACAAAAGTGTCTTCAGGCAGTGCCCTGTTATATCCCCTGGGGGACACAATCACCACCGGCTAAAAGACACTGGTTCCAATCTTAGACAAATATACTCAAAGAATCAGTATGAAGAAATGCATATACACGGGATGTATTTGCTTGTGAGATTGAAGATATAAATGATTAATAAATTGCCTTTCTAATTTAAAGAATGTTTTGTGCACATGCCTCCAGATAAAAATATATAGCTAACATAGAATTGTTGCATAATATTCTTTATAGATGTACTGGAATGGCTCCAACTATCCCCCTGGTGAATATTCAGATTTCTGGGGTTTTGTTTTAGAGGATTTTTTTCCCCAAAAGACTCAAAGCAGGTTCATTCAGAAGCACAATAGAGAAAATGTGGTCGAACTATAGTAGTAGAGGATCTCCCAGACCAAACACCCGTGCTAGGCCGTGTTTTACAAATGCAGTACAACCCAAACCTTTTTGTTTTAGACCAGTGGTTCTCAACCTGTGGATTGTAACCCCTTTAGGGGTCAAATATCAGATATCCTGCCTATCAGGTTTTTACATTATAATTCATGGCTGTAGCAAGATTACAGTTATGAAGTAGTAACAAAATAATTTTATGGTTTGGGGTCTCCACAACATGAGGAACAGTGTTAAAGGGTCACAACCTTAGGAAGGTTGAGAACTACTCTTCTAGGCAGCCTCAGGCTGTACCGCAGGCTAGCCTTGAACTCCTTGAACTCGGAACCCTTCTATCTTCCACTTCTGAGTGCTGGGAATACAGGAGTGCCACCATACCAGGCCAAATTGCTACTTTGGTTTGTTTTGGTTTGTTGGTATGTTTGTTTGCCTCCCCCTTTGTGTAGCTGGGAAACATTTTGATACATTCTGCTGAAATTGTTTGCCCAAAACTCTGGAGCAATAGCTGCTCCAATTTGCCTCTGCCTGAATCAATCTACAGAGCCATCCTGCTGCCCATGTTCAGCTCCCTGAACTTCGAGTTCCCCGGGCACATCTTTTCAATTGTGCATTGATCATTTGCATTTTCTGTGAGCTGCCACTCTGGCAAACCACCTTACACTAACTCGGTGTCTTAACTTTACTATTATTATTATTATTTTATTAAGATGTATTAAGGAATGGTGGCTTACGCCTTTAATCCCAGAATCCAGGAGGCAGAAGCAGACAGATCTGTGTGAGTTTGAGGTCATCCTGGTCTACGCAGTGAGTTCCCAGCCAGCCTTATCTTAGAAAGAAAGGAAGGGAGGAAAGAAGGGAGGAAGGGAACTAAAGAGAGATGTATTAATTGTACATGTTAATGGGGTTCCCTGTGGTGTAATATTCCCACACATACACATGGTGGACCCTTATTGAATCCAGCCTCCCTATATCTCCCTTCCCTCCCCATCCTTCCCAACTTGTAGCAATCTCTCTTTTACAGTCAGGGCAGCCTTCTCCACACAGGAGAAGAAACCTGTGGTGCTCGTCTTTGTGTGCTCGGTTTCTCTCACTTGGCATAGTGTCCTCTATTTCCACCCACTCTGCTGCAGACGGAGAACAAGTGCCTAAAACACAGCCAATGTAGGCACCGTAAATGTTGGCCTAAACGAGTCCTAGTCAATGCTGCTTCTTCTACAAAAAGGAATGATGAGGACCAGGAAGACGGCTTTATAAGGATGCTTGTTGTCCAGCTTGGCTGCCTGAGTTTGATACTTGAAACCCACAGGGAAGGGGAGAACTCATCTCCACAAGTTGTCATCGACCTCCATCTGACCTCCACATTCTAACCATGACATGCATGTCATAGACTACAGCTTTTTGTTTGTTTGTTTGTTTGTTTGTTTTTTAAAGGGTGGTGGTGGTGAACTCAGTTAGTCCTGGCACTCCGGAGGCAGATACAGGCTGAACTCTTGAGTTTGCAAAAGGCCAGCCGGGTCTACAGAGTGAGTTCGAGAACACCCAGGGATCCAAACAGAAACCCTGTCTTGGGGGGGGGGGAAGGGGTAGGAGGGATTCTGGATGTGGGAAAATGAGTAAGTTGTTACCCCTGTGAGCACAAAGTTGAGGGGTAGACATGGAGGGGGGCTGTGAAGAGAGGTGTCGGGGCATAAAGAAGACATTTTAGGTCAAATTTTCAGTGTTTTGGGTGTTTGTTTGTTTGTTTGTTTTGCTCTGTGACTGTGTTACCTATTCAGAAACTGTAAGTATCTTTTTAAAGTCAGCTACTGATATCCTTATTTGGAGGAGATGTTTTACTGATTCTTATTGAATGTTAAGGCAATTATACCAGGTATTTCCATGAACCAAAGCCAAGGCTGGTTATTAAGTCAAATGTGATTTCTGCCTTAAATCTATTGGTGTGTGTGTGTGTGTGTGTGTGTGTGTGTGTCCCTGTCCTTGGTATGGTCACAATCAATAAAACCTGAAGTAATGGAGCCAAAAGGCTCTTCATGTTCAATTCTGCCTATGATACAACTCTGAGCTATAGTGGTCTCCACAGTCCCTGGGCACCATGGAAGTTGTGTGCTGGGCAAGTTTTTAATTATGGCAGAGGTAAGAGGGTAACCCACAGGCCTGCTAGTCCTAC